TTTGTATACAGTGTTAAGTAGAAGTACAACATTATTAGTTTGCATCTGGAAATCTAGTTTCCTCAGCACCATCTGTTGAAAAGACTGTCTTTTCCCCACTGAATGGTCTTGGCATCCTTGTCGAAAATCATTTCATGACATATGCAAGTTTTGTTTTTTTTTTACTGTGCTCCCTATTCCATTCCATTGATCTGTAAGTCCTTTAGCTATTCAGGTTCCCTTAAGATTCCATATGAATTTTAAGATGGTTTTTTTCTATTTCTGCAAAAAAACATCATTGGGATTGTGATAGGGATTGCACTGAAGCTGTAAATCACATTGGGTGATATTAACATCTTAACAATATTAAGTCTTCCAATCCATGAACATGGGATGTGTTTCCATTTACTTATGCCTCTTTTAATATTTTTCAAAAATGATTTGTACTTTTCACTGTTCCAAGTCTTTCATCTGCTTGGGTAAGTTAATTCTTAAGTACTTTATTTTTTATGCTATTATAAATGCAATTTTTAAAATTTTCTTTTTAGATTATTCACTTTCACTGTATAGACATGCAGCTGATTTTTGTATGTTGACTTTGTATCCTGCTACTGTGCTGAATTCATTTATTTCCTCTAACAGTTTTTTGTGGAATATTGAGGGTTTTCTACATTTAAGATTCTAACATCTGCAAACAGAGATTTTATTTCTTCTTTCCAATTTGGATGACTTTTGTATCTTTTTCTTGTCTATTGCTCTAGCCAGGACTTCCAGCAATATGTTGAACAGAAGTGGCAACAGTAGGGATCATTGCCTTGTCCCTGATCATAGAGGAAAAGTGTTCAGTCTTTCACCATTGAGTATGATATTCACTGTAGGTTTTCCATATATGGTTTTTGTCATATCAAGGTAGTTTCCTTCTCTTCCTAGTTTGCTGAGTGTTTTTATCATGAAAGGGTGTTAAATTTTGTCAGGTGTTTTTTCTGCATCAAGGTGACCATATGGGTTTTTTTCCTTCATGCTGTTAATGTAGTATATTCCATTGATCAGTGTTCATTATGTTGACCCATGTTTGCACTCCAGGAATAAATCTCACCTGGCCATGGTGTGTAATCTATTAATATGCTGCTGAATTCGGTTTGCTATTATTTTTCTTCAGATCTTTTCACCAACATTCATAAGGGACATTGGTCTGCATTTTTCTTTTCTTTTACTGTCTTTATCTGGCTTTGGTATCAGGATAATTCTGTCCTCATAGACTAAGCTGAGGAGTATATCTTCCTCTTCACTTTTATAGAAAAGCTTGAGAAGGATTGGTGTTAGTTCTTTTTTTACATGTTTCATAGAATTCACTGGTAAAGCCATCAGGTCCAGGGCTTTTCTTTGTCTGGGGATTTTTAATTATTGATTCAATCTCCTTCCTAGTTACAGATATAGCCAGATTTTCTATTTCTTCATGCTTTGGTGTTAGTAGGTTTTGTGTTTCTAGGAATTTGTCCATTTTTTCTTGATCCAACTTGTGGGCATACAGTTGTTCATGGTACTCTCTTACCATATTTTTTACTTCTGTAGAATCAGCAGTACTGTCTTCATTTCTGATCTTAGTAATTAATTTTTTTTTCTTAGTCCATCTAGCTCAAGGCTTACTAATTTTGCTGATCTTTTCAAAGAACCAGCTTTTGGTTTCATTTATTTTTCTGTTTTCTTATTTTCTGTTTCATGTGTGTCTGTTCTGTTTATTATTTCCTTCCATCTTGTAGCTTTGGGCTTAGTTTGCTCTTCTTTTTCTAGTTCCTTAAGTTGTAAAGTTAGGTTGCTGATTTGAAATCTTTCTTGTTTTTTTAACATAAGCATTTATAGCTATAAATTTCCCTTTTAGCACTGCTGTCGCTGTGTCCCATAAGTTTTGATGTTGTTTTTGTTTTCATTCATCTCTAGGTATTTTCTAATTTCCTTTCTGATTTTTTTTTTTTGATCCATTGGTTGGTTGTGTTCTTTAATCTCCACAAATTCAAATTTTTCAGTTGTCCTTCTGTTACTGATTTCCACCTTCATCACTTTATGGTCAGAGAAGATACTTTGTTTGATATCTATCTTTTTAATATAAGGGGATTTAATTTTTAAAAACCATTAACTTTTAATGGTCTACCCTGGGAAATGTCCCGTGCCCTTGAAAATAATGTGAATGCTGTTGCTGGCTAGAGTGTTCTGTATATTTAAAAACCATTAACTTTTAATGGTCTACCCTGGGAAATGTCCCGTGCCCTTGAAAATAATGTGAATGCTGTTGCTGGCTAGAGTGTTCTGTATATGCCTGTTAGATCTAGTTGGTTTATTGTGTTGTTCAAGTCCTCTATTTCTTCAGTTTCTTCTGTCTGGTTGTTTTATCCATTATTGAGAATGGGGTAGTAAAGTCTCTATTACTGTAGAATTATTTCTCCCTTCAATTCCATCAATTCTTGCTTCACATATTTTGATGGGCTATTATTAGGTGTGTAAATGTTACATCTTCTTGCTCTATTGAAGCTTTATTAATACATGATGCCCTTGTCTCTTGTAAACTTTTTTGACTTACAGTCTGCTATTAGGATAGCCACCTCTCCTCTCTGGTTACTATTTGTATGGAGAATCCTTTTCCATCCTCTCATCTTTTATCTGTTTGTGTTTGCATTTAGGTGAGTCTTTTGTAGACATGCTATAGTTGGGTCATTTTTTTTTAATCCATTCTATTATTTGCTATCTTTTCATTGTAGAGTTCAATCCATTTACTTGTAATTATAAGGAGGATTTTATTTCTGGTATTTTGGTTCTTGTTTTTCTGCATTCCTTAGGTTTTTTGGTTTTTTTGTCTCCATTTCCTGCATTAGTCTCTTGTTTGTGTTCACTTTATTTTTTTGTAGTGAAATATTTAAATTCCTTTCTCATTTCCTCTTGTGGGTATTCGGTAGCTATTTTCTTGTAGTTATCATAGAGACTACATTTAACATCATATAGTTTTAACACTCTATTTTGAATTTATACCAGTGCAACTTCAGTAACATACAAAAATTCTGTTCCTTTAAAACTCTATCCCCATAAAATTAGATATTTATACATCATGTGTCCCAAAACATAAACTAACAATTCTTTTAAATGTACTAGTCTCTACAATTGTGTAGAAAACAATTGTTATAAACCATTATTTCTTCAAATAGTCTCTCTCTTCTCCTTCCAGGACTCCCACAGTGCCTATGTTGGTCAACTTCTGTGTCCCACTGGTCCCTTAGACTCTGTTCCACCATCTTTTTCCTTTCTCTGTTCCTTAGACTCAATAGTTTTCATTGTCTTTGAATCCCTTGAGTGGATTTTTCATTTGCTTTTGTATGTCCCAGCTCCATAATTTCATTGGTTTCCTTTAAATTGTCTCTTTATTGATATTTTCATTTTATTTATACATTGTTTCTGGACACTCTCCACATCTTCCTTTAGTTGATTATCTTTAAGACAATTGTTTTAAATTTTCTAGCAAACCCACCTTCAGGTTTTTCAGGGAAAGTTTCTATTGTTTTTTTCCCTATGAATAGATCATACTTTCCTATGTGTGCCTGTATATACTTTGTATGCCTTGTGAATTTTTTTAGTTGAATACTGGACATTTGAATCTAATAATGTGCTAATGTGGAAAATCAAGAATCTCCTCCCTGCCCAGGATTTGCTGTTTTGGCATTTTTGGTTTTTGGTTGTTTTTTGTTCTTTATTATATCGTAGGCTGCCTCTGTGCCAAGGATCAGCCTGAGGTGTAAACTTGAGGTCTTATTGGGTCTTTCTGAACCAGTGTTCTCTGGGTACACATGGTGTCTTTCTAATTCCCCCCTGTATATGCCATCGCTTTTGAAAGTTCTAGTCTTCAATGTCAGGCTCCCAAATGGGGAAAAAGAGAAAAACTAAAGGCCAAAAAAAAAGGCACCCCAATTAAGCAAAGAGGAACAGTTTACAAAAATGAGAGTAAGCATAACAAGGCCACTGCCTCTTTGAACCTCTGCATTCAGAAGCAGCAAGCAGCAAGCAGCAATCAGAACAGACCCCAAATATATGGAGGACAGGTGCTTTTTGCCCACCCTGGCTCCACAATCTGCATACAAGCTGCTCTAGAAACACATGCATGGCTACCCGCCACAGAGCAGAGTGATGGGAGATGGGTAGCTACTACTATGCTAAGAGCTGAAACCAAAATTAACTGCAATTTACCATCTAAGCCTTTCCCTGGAAACCTTCAGTTGACTGCAGAGATCCAAAATATGCAGATTCTGCTAGTGAAATTTTGTCTAGGTGGGGAGACAGACTTCTGTTGTTTCCAACTGCACCATCTTCCCAAATCTTCGAACTTTAATGTTAGTAAATTATTAAGCTTGAGGTATATCACATTATAAATCTAATAAATTTTAACTCAAAAGAAAAATCCCACTAACTTCACTGTCTTTAAACCTTTAATTAGCCACATCTACGTAAGTATTATTGTCCTTCAGTCTGAACACAGGCCAAAAGATGTCTGCCAGGGTTGAAGATGCAATGACCACTTAAGGGGAACAGAAAAGAAGACCATGTTTTCTGAATCCAAAACTCAGACACAGGGCTGGACAAAAGATTTGAGAATGATTGTGTAAAATATCTTATAAGTATACAAAAATTAAATTTGATTACATTATAAATTTAATGCACTGCCTTTATGAAAAAAAGCCTGTCCCCAGAAAATTAAGCCATATAGTCCCCACATTTATGGTGAAAGAAGAACAAGGAGAGTGGAGGCATTGATCATTGAATGAATTTTTCCAACTTTCATTCTTTGCATGTTTTGATAATAACATGTCAATAAATGCCCTATAATGAATCAGTACATTTTTCTTTACATTTAATGTAAATACCAACAGTGGTCACCTACCATCATGCAAGGGCACATTTCACAAGTTTTATAAACAAATTTTAAAATAACCACATGTAATTAAAACAAAAAACAAAAATAACACAAAAAGAAGGACAACAGAGAAAATACAAAAATGTAGTTTATTTCCCTTATTTACCAAAGTTACCTATAAAGTTACAAATTTTGCCTTGGAGTTTAAGGCAGTTTCTTTTTTTACACTTTTCCTGATCATATGCCAGATTCAGCATCTTCTGTGTTTCATCTGTATTTAATTGGTCATTTATATTTTATACATTTGTCCACTTAAGAACCATATTCCCTTCATGATAAGTGAAGCTCTATAATATAAAATATCATTGTCTTATATATTTGAGTAATACCGATCACGATTTTGAAAGTCTCTATGAGCGTATCTTGCATAAGTCTTATTATGTGGGATCCTTCCAAAAGGTTCATGGTCATTGAAACAAGATTCAAAAACTTCATCAACAGCCTTCTGAGCTACTTCTTTGCTGATATTCCTAACAGCCAGGATAGAAAGAATGGCTCTGTCTCGCACACAAGTCTAAGGAGGAAGGAAAGTAGGTGGCTTTAATTTTATACAAAAATTTAACCATGAAATAACACTTTTTGTAATTTCTGAACCACAATCAAAATTAATTCCCTTTTATATCAGTTTATTAATTTCTATCATTTCAAAGAAATATTACTCTTAAATTATGGAGCACTGTTTAGCTCAATCTACAGTCTTTTAAGTACAGGACCTCAATCATTTTCTCATCTTTACCAATACTATAAGCAGATGTCATTCCCTCAAGTTCTAGGGAGTGTTTGGCAAACAATAGCTCCCAATTTGCAAAATCATTAAAAAGTCTATAAGTAAGGTTCTGGTTGAATAATAAATTTGAAATAGAGTTATTTCTTCTGTGCCTCTCTTCCCTAACTTTTCAGTTGATCAGTACTAGATAACTTTTAAGAGGCGCACACTCCCCTAGAGGCCACAGGAAACACATACATACACATAAATTTGATGGTGTCTTAATTTTTCCAGGAACAAAAAATTCTGACAACTTTTCTTTCCTGACTGTTCTTTGAATGGGTGTTAAAGTTCTCTACCTAAGAAAATAATTTACCTAATGTTACATAGCAACAGACAAGAATTTCTCAGTATTCTAAATATTTTAATAAACATACAGTCCTGCCATCCCAGTTCTTAGAGAGCTTTAAATCCATTTATTTCTCTAAAGGCCCAAACTCAACCTCAAAAGAATGGCATTTAACCTCTTCCTGAAGAATTACCAAACCCTGGCTCTGATGCCAATCCTGCCAATCACTGACTTTCACTGCGTGTTCCCCATTTTATTTCAGCCTGGTCAGCATGCCCAAACTGGAGATGCTCACTAATACTGGAGTATAAACCACAGCTCTCAACCTAAAATATACCAAACACTGACCTTGAAAATAAACTCTCAGCACAAAGGATGTGGCAGGAGAGGAAGAAGCTCACATGAAACCACAACAGCCATTGCCAGGGAGGGGAAAGTTCTCCTCTCCAGGGAAGAAAAGCCCAGTAAAAATTTGTCTCCCAGAACCACAGGGTTGGGAGACACACAGATCACAGTTCAGATCTGCTTTTCAGATGTAATAAATTTCTGTTGAAAGTGCACAATTTTACAGTTACTGCAATTAATGTTTGCGTTTGTATTTCTTAGGCACTTGCTGCACAAAAGCTGGGACTTCATTCTCTAAGACTCTTCTCCCTCAACCGGGCTCCCTAACTCCACATTTTCCATCTTAATGCTGGTTCCGCCTGTTTTCTGCTGCTGGTACCCACAGCAAAAAGAGGAGCAAGTTCTCTTTCAAAGACACTGGGCCCCAGGTCACATGACTTACAGCGTCAGCCTCTCCTCTGGGGTGTGCTAGTGTGCACCCTACTCCCACCCTTTCCACTGAGCGCCAGAACACACGGCCCGTGCAAAGGCAGTCAAAGCTGACCTCACCAGCTAAGCAGGAATTCAAGGGCAGAGAAGATATGTGACACAAGACAAGGCAGTGACCTGTCACTTCGCCAACTTGACGCAGGCAGACAGAAAAACCACCCTACCCAAGGAGTCACTCTTCCCAGGCAGCAGAGCTGCCTTCACGCTCCCACTCACTAGGTCCACAATTTCTTAGTAGTTCAGAGACTCTCCACCTCCCTCCCCAGAGTTAAGACACTCTCTTCTCTAAGAACCAAGGGCAGTCCCGTTGTTGTTCCCAGCCTATCCTTTTTCCATCGGGTGGAAACTGCCGGCCCAATGCCCATGCACCTCACAAACTCTTCCCATAGAAAATCTTTGACCAGCCTTTCTACTAAGCGCAGACATGGAGGCCATTGGCTGCTGTGGGCAGAATGGCTCACATTCACTATCAGTCCATCAGTTCTAAACTCCTCTCCCCACATCCATCTACTGGGGATCCTAAAGCTTTCTAACAGGATGACCTTGCTTATGGCATCCCCTTTTTTGCTTCCTGTTCTTGTTTTCATCTTGTCCTGTTTATACTCTCCCTCTCAGGGTCTTGCAGCCCTAAGGCACACGAGTACACCGCCATGAGCTGTGTTGCAGCACAGTCTCTGTTCTGAAGACATTACCTTCTTGCCTCAAACAGACTGTGGTAATTTCAAAATATAAGTCCAGCACTGCCAGGATAAAAGCAGACAGGCTGTGATATCACTTCCCTCCCTCTCTACCACCACCATCCATGGGATCCCAAGGGCGAGGTCATAGTCCTTTTACTATTAAAACCTTTCACATAGTCACACAGCTCGCCCATAATTATAAAGTAGAACTAAATCCCATCTGTTTGGTTTAAATGGCATACTGTTTGTATTCCCTTCATAGGAGTAGCCATTTCACATTTCAAAACTCGTCCTGTCTTATTCATCATTTCCACTCATAGTACTCCTGAGGGTAAGTGATATCATATGTTAGTTTTTACCTGATGGTGTTGTTTTAATCCAAAATGCAACCTGAATATTTCATTTACAAGTGAGCAGTCTCCACTGAGGTTGGCAGCTCGAACCTACCACAAAGACAGAAGGCAAACAAAAGAAAGTAAGTGCTCATGCTCTCCACCTGGCTATCAACCAATGTTTTAAAATTGTAAAAGAATATAAAAGTAGCATGTTTTTCTGCAAACAGAGTATCTATAAGACTTTTTTGAAGTATGTTTTATACTCCATTGACTTAAATAGTTCTCCAGTTAAGAAAAAGACACTGTGAGCAATGCCAGACAATGCAAAATACACTGGGTAGAAGAGGGGTTATTTAGTCATCCATCAAAGGGAATTTTCAAAATTTCACTGTAAACTTACTGACAAAACTAATTTCTTTTGGAACAAAAAGTTAGAGAGTTGGGCTTCAGAGTTAAAAGTCCTCGCCCTCTATAAGACACAAATGGTTCCAGAGATTATCAAAAGGACTTCAAGAAAGGATTCTTCAAAGATCCACAAACTGAGTTTCAATATGAGCTTAAAATTGAATACACCAGTATCTGAGACATTTTGAGCATATGAGCCTCCCATCCATTGCCCAAACCACTGAAACTATCTTGGACCTTCCCTTAATCCCATGTAAATTCGTGCCTTCCTCCAGAGCTGCAACTGTCCTATGAAAACTTCAACAGAATCAAGACCAATCCAAAATGGCCATGCTATGAGCATCACAGCCTGAAGGTAGGATATATTTTCTAATTTACTATATTTTTAGGGTAAAAAAGAGCCTTAATAGATAAAAACATCTTAGAAATACCCACATAGATTCTACAGCCAACCTAGCCATATTTTTGCCAATTCATTGCAAAGAGAATGGCTCACTTCTTGTTATTTCTAGATAACGTAGCCTCATTCCTCTGAGTAGCTCAAGGTGCTTAACACACTTTAAGAAGCTAATAGGCATTAATTCTCATAACACCCAAGAAAGAGACCTATTTAAAAACTCAGGTTTCAGTCTACTCTCCAAATAATATGAGTTATAATTAGATGCAGTGGGGCTATTTACTAATTTCAAGGGAAAGAGAAAATAACCTGTTATAAAATATAAAATATAAACTTGGAATTTATATTGTTTTTTTTAACTTCTCAGCACACTGCACACTCTTCAATTAATGAAATGCAAGTATGAAATACATGTGTGTGTGTGTGTGTGTGTGTCTGTGTGTGCCTCTAAGACAATCCAAAGTACTTAAAAATAAATACTTTTTATGATACACTTTTGAGACTAAATGTTTTACTCTAGGGCAAGCAAGGAGTTTTTACCTATGGAAAGTAGCACAGAAAAACAGTTAAGAAGCCTCTGCCACTTACTAACTCTGAAATCTGAACAAATGCCTCACTTTCCACACATATAAAACAGAGGAGACAGTACCTTCATCAATGGGCCATTGTGAATACTAAATAAGAATCCACAGACAGGGCAGTGTTTAGCACACTGCCCTCAGGAAATGTCAACTATTATTATGTCATATAGTTTATTCTGTAGAAAAAGTAGCTTATTATTATACTTATAGTCATCACTTCTATTAGGATTTGAAAGTTACATTTAAACAATCCAAAAAATTCAAAAATTATGTTCAATAGTTAAAAATGGGAATGCAAGACAAGTGTGGAACTATGACAGTAAGAAAAGGAACAGACTTAAATAAGGTATACATCAATGTTCAAACTCAGAGTGTTCTGGGTAGGAAGAAGAATCTTCTATGATGGAACTCACCTCTGAGCAGGCCAAATGCCTGACATTGGTGAACCAGCTGACATGAGCACGACAGTGATCGAAGGCGTGAATGAGCTCGTGGGTGGCCACTCTGTTCATGTGCGCCTGGCTGCGGATGTTATTCTGGCACAAAACAATCTAGGGGGCACCAAACCCGAGATGTCCAGTTATTCCTAAAATTACTCTCATGTCCCAAATCCATCTTCTCTCTGACCTGAAGCAGCTCACCTGGCTAGGAATGCTTCTACCTCCTCTCTCCTTCAGCCCACATCCCCCACAGCAGGGCTGGTCTGGGTTAGACAGGCTCCGGGAAGCCTTCCCAGGGGCACCTCTGCTCACCTCTCTGGGCGACAGCAGCACTTAGATCCAGGACGTTTATTCACATACTGGTCTCACTGGGAGGACCGCACCAGTTTATCTTGGACCCTACAGCATTCTATTAAGAGAGTGGCTTTGGAATGATGCAGACAGAGTTCAACTCCAGCCCCACTCTTCACTAACTTGGTGACCTTGGGCAAGTTTCTTAACCTCTCTGTGCCTCAGTTCCCTTAACTATAAAAAGGAGATTCATTCAAGTACCTACCTCATAGAATTGTGAGAATTAAATGAGAATATATGTAAAATGCATCTTTTCAAGTTTCTGAATGAGCAATGAATCAACAATGAATAACTACCACTGTCTCATTCTACTAGAATTGTCAGGAAAAATCCTCAGAAAGACCTTCAGAAAGAAGTGCAAAAGCCAACAGCCCACTAAACAGGACCCTATGAGAATAATGAAGACATGAGGCATCCTAATTATAATAGTTACCCATTTATTGTGTACTTACTGTGTGCCAGCCACCAGGATATATACCACATATTTTATATACATTCATTTATTCAACTAATATTTATTGAGACCTATTAGTAGATTTATAATCTACTAATGGAGAAAGAAATTATTCAAACATTTACCAAAATGTTTAAATACATGCCATGACAGCTGTCATGAAGGAAATCCCAGATTGTCATGAGTACATACAATGAGAATGCCAGACCTGGTCCAGAGGGTTAGGAAAGGTTTCTCTGCAGAAGGAATGTTTAAAGTAGGCTCTGATGGATGAATAAGAGTTAAATTTGAGAAGGGAAAGGCGCATTCCAGGCAGAGGACCAATCACATCTGCAAAGGCTAGGGAGGATTGAAGGTTTGAACAGCTCAATGCAGGCCTGTATTGCTGAAGCACAGAGTTGGAGGTGGAAGGCGGAGGGCTGGTGAGGTCAGCAGGGGCCAAATCACTCTATCCTGAGAACAATGGGCAAGTCACTGAAAGCAAGCAGTGAAACAGGAGGGTGCTCTTGTTTTGTTTTTAATCCTTTTGACTATAGTTAGAAAAATAAGCAGGAAATGACCACAACTGGATGCAAAGAGACAGCTGAAGGCTAATGAAATATTCAAGGAAGAGACAATGGTACCTGGCTAGGAAGGTGGGAACTGAAAAATATATTTAGGAGGCAAACTGGACAAAATTTGGTGATGGATAGAATATGGAAAGGTTATCAGAGGTACCACGAATGACCTGTAATTCCTGGCTTGGGTAATAGAATGGATAGTGGTACCATTCAGAGACATGCAAAACTGAAAGACCAGGTTGGTGGGAATGGGGGATGGTATAAATCATCAATTTGGATTTGGAAATGTCAGGTCTAAAGTACCTTTAAAACATCCAAGTGTAGGTGTTAAGTGGTGACCTGAATATACAGATGTAGAGTTCAAAAGAGAGCTCTGACCTAGGGAAATAAATGAGACCCCCTTGGCAGAGTACAGAGTAAGAAAAGAGGGGATCTTAACACCAAGGACTAAGGGACTTCAACATTCAAGGGCTGGTAGAGGAAGGTGAGCCAGCAAAGAGTCGTATACTGGAAACCATGGGAAGAAAGTGCTAAGGTCAAGAGTACGCACCCTCTGTTACCCAGCAACTTGCCTCCTGGGCATATACCTTGGAGTGACTTTCACACATGTGCACCAGGAGAAAAGATGAAAAATACACAGAGCAGTGTTTTTCAGAGTAACAAAGTTAGAAACAGCCAATATTAGATAAAGTAAGCTGCAGTATAGACATACAATGGAATACTATACAACAGTGAAACTACATAAGCCAGAGGCATACTTAGTAACATGGGAGAATCTCACCATGTTGAACAAAAGAATTGTTAAGGAAGACTGTATGATTTCACTAAACTATAAAGTATTACATATAACTTTAGGTATTCCATGTATAAAACTTAAAAGGCAGGCAACTACATAACACATTGTTGGACTGTATATGTAGATGCTGAAACTACTGAGAAAAGCAGGGAATGATGACCTCTCAAGTCCCAATAACAAAGGAAGAGGAAATGTGGCCCAGGAGGGCCACACAGGCATCTGAACCCCTGGCAGTGTTCTATTTCTCCAATCCGGGTGGCAATTACACAGGTACTCATTTTATTATTTTGACTGAAAGTGTACATAAAGGTTTTTTACTCTTCTGTCTGAATGAGATACTTAACAACACACATTTTAGTCAAAAAAACAAAAAGGGAGAGTTCCCAACTGGGTTCAACACTGCTGAGAAATGATACCAAGGTACAAAATACTTACTCTGTTTGACCCCAAGGGAGGATGAACTTAGCATGACCCATTTTGGGAGCTGTAGGTGTTGTGATTATCAACTTACAAATGAGGAAACTGAGAATGAGGTAAATAACTTGTCCACGTCCCACAGCTCTTAAGCAGGGGAACTAGGATTTGAACTCAAGTCTACCTGACTTTAAAACCCAGATCCCTCACTTCTGTGCTATACTGCTTTTTCCCATGAATACTGTGAAAGAGCTATCAATAACCAAAATAGAGAAAACTCGCCAGCAAGAACAATTAAATGTAATGAAATATGGGTAAAACTCCCCAGCAAGAACAATTAAATGTAATGAAATATAATGAAATATTCAAGACGGAAGTACCTCTACAACATCTACATCTACCCTCCTCAAATGACATAATCCATCTACCACAGTCCAAGACACAGCCAAAACCTTCCAATGACTTAAAACTAACATTTATTGAATGCTTACTATGATACGCACTTTATAAGTGCTAGCTCATTTATTTCTCATAACTGTTCTATAAGACAGATACAGTCATTACCCATATTTTACAGATAAGAAAACTCACTCCCCTAATCAAAAATTTTTCAAAGGCATCACTTCTCACCATGTAAAGGTGAAGCTCTGGCTCAGCACTCAAAGCCTCCCACCACATAGCTTAGCTTTCTTTCCAATACCATTACCCCTCACTCCCCATACATTCCTGCCCTCCAGCTAAACCAGACAAGTCCATTCCCCAAATACACTTGTGTTTTCCCAACACACCACCTATGCTCATGCTACCCCTGCTGTGGGAACAGTGCCTTTGTCTTCCTTGCCCCTGAAGAGGCCTCACAGCCTCTAGCTGAATCTGTTGGCGTAGTCCAGTCAACCACATCCCTGTCCCGTTGTGGTAGCCACACCCACATAAAATAGTTTAACCGGCCTCAACTTTTATCATTCTGTGTTCATGTCCTGCCTCCCCTGTGAGAGTGGAAGCTCCTTTGGAGTAGGGACCATGACTAATTCAGTTTTTGAATTCTCCACAGCATGTGGAAGGTGCTCAGCAAAGGGCAGGAGAGAAGTGGAGGAAAGTTGACAACTGGCAAAAATGCCTACCTGAGATGTTGAAGCATCAAAACCTCCGCTGACATTTCCATCACAGTTTTCACAAGAAAAGTGTCTTTGTTTGTTAACAGCGCTAAAGGGTAAGAATGGGTTAAAGAGACAATGTCCAAAAGCAGTTTGTGATACAGGGGAAATAGTCTTGGGCAAGGAATCAGGGGACAGTATCCTAAATCTTAACTCCTATATCCCCACCCTGGGAGAGCAACCTACCACCTTCGGGACTCAGCTTTCTCCTCCATGAAATAAGGAAATTGTCTCTGCAAAATCTATCCTAGTTCAAATTCCATAACATGACTCCATATAAAGTACTTGGTCAACAGATCAACACCAAATTGGATGTTGGGAATCCTGCTCTTGGGCTAAAATGTTAAGTGTACCTCAGAAATCACTTCCTCTAAGGCCCTAAAAACACCTGGACGGCTCCTACACAACAAGCTAAGATTTCTTCTCCACTAGGGACAATACTGAGGCTACCATAGTGGAAGAGCCAGGTTTGGTAATCACTTACAAGAAAGATTTGGAGTATAGTCTTTACTAAATACACAAGATAAGTGAGAGAGCCAGAGATTGAGAATTAGGGCAGATGTCCCAAGACAGTAAGGCCTGCCCAGAAAGAATACAGCCAACCACCACCACCTGCCATTCGGAAAAGGTGCTGCAGCCCGAAGAGAAAAATCTTAAGTAGTTCAGTTTATTTAATTTTTTGTTTTCAGAGCAGCCTTCAAAAAGATATACTTACCAACCCGAGTGCTTCATGGCATCAAGTAAAAGTTTGACATACGGATCTAAAAAGATATTGATTTTATTATGTATGCTAATTGGTAAAAATAGCACCAATTAAATTACCCAAATAGCAGTATACAATATTAAAAAGTAACTCACAAATCTTAATGAATACTATCTTAAAATTAGTAAAAATGGATACAGAAAGACAAGCTTAAATTAACATAAAAGCAAGTCTTTAATGAAACACTGATGCTGAGTACACTGAGACAGGTACTACCAAACATCTTAGATGACATCAAATATGCTTCTAAAGGTCATTTTTAATTAAATGATCACACACATTGTATTAAAGCACATACCAAAAGACCACGGGAATTTGGGGTCACATCCACACAGCACAGCCTCCAAATGAGGGGAAAGTAATGTTGGCTGACCTGGTCAGACCCAGTGGTAACACAGTGTCCCATTCTATGTACCACATTACAGGCTGATGCTTTTGTACCACAGCAAGTTCTCCAAGCAGCCTGCCCCTGGGAAGGCTGATGCCTGTTCATTCCCAGAGGGGTCATGTTCAGTACCACATCCCCCTCATGTTCTACCTCAACACCTCCTCCACCATTTGCCTCTTTGCTGTAGGAACAGCTCCCCTTTGTTCAGTTCCTGATGTGCCAGCACCTTAAATTCATAAAATCTATTCCTTAAAACTCTAAAAGAGGTGTTTCATCCCTCTTCCTCCCTTTTACTTTGTAGATAAGGACAGAAGAGATCAGAGAATTAAATCACTCTTGCAAGGAGAAGGAACAGAATTTGAATCTGTGTCTAACTCGTAGCCAATGTTCTTTCCACTGTGCTCCACTTTTAAACATCTTAAAGCAGGGGTCCTGACTCATCTTTGTGTCTCCCCACACCAGAACCCAGAAGGCATTCAGGACATACTTGCAAAGTAAACACAACCTCATCATTCCCTCTACATCCCTTCCATCTCCCATCTCCTTTGATTCCGTACACGCAGGTAATCTCAGAGAGGTTGGAGAACTTTGGGTGGTTGACTTTTGAACCGTGATTGGCTGGCTATGAAATGCTAACCTTGCTTTGGGACAAGTATGGGACTTTGATTTTCTAAATGTGTCTGAAGAAATTTAGGAAGTCTATGTCAACATAGTTAAGAAATCTCTAGAAATCTCTAGTGCAACATCTCTGGGACTAGAGAGAATGTAGTTCTTAACCTTGTTGATGGGTCTCTGACAGTGTAACGAAGCTATGCACTATCTCCCCAGGAAAATGCACGATTTGGCATTCCATTTCAGGGTTTCTACATTCTTCAGCCCATCTATGTATGAAGGTAGAAAACTCCTTCCAACGAATGATAGTTTGCGAAACTGTTTTTGCACTGCCAGCAATAGCTATGCTTTAATTAACGCAACTCTTTAAAACTGCGCTTCACCAGGACCCTAAATTCCCCAGTATTGCTGCACAATTTACAAAGGGTATCAGAGGACCTGCTAAACCATTGAGTGTGACAGCAAAGCGCAAACTCCTAGCCTGACTCCTCTCCTTCATTGCAGAACCAAGAGTAGTGCTAAAAGGGGCCTCAGTGCCACCTCTGATAGGAAAACTTAGACCCAGACCCCCGACTCCAGGCCCTTAACGATGAATCTGCCCAGACGCTGCTCAGCGGTGCCTGAAGCCGGCCCACGCCGCACCTGGGGCAGAACTCGGGGCCCCTGGCCGAGGGGGGCCCAGACCCTCTCCTCCCCGTCGCTCTCAGACACCACCCTGCCGACCCCCGGCCTCGTGGCACGGCTTCCTACTGGTCTCCAGGGTCTCCAGGAGCATGCGCTGGCACTTCCGGTTGTCGGTGAATAAGCTGGAGAGGAAGCCTTGCTGGGACCTCCCCTGAGCCAGCCGCTCGGGGAAGACCTGGCACGCGACTTGTGGCTGCGGCAGCTGCTGTCCCGCCTCGGGGCCTGGCCCGCGCTCGTCCCGAGCGCCCGCCATGCCGCCCGCGTACTCGCGGCTGCTTCCCCCTCGGGCGGCCAGGGTTAAGCCCCAGGAAGGGTAACGCTCTCCCGCCAGTCCGGCCACCCAGGTCCCCCTCCACCCGGCCGAGCGCAGGCCCTGCAGCGAGACAGTCACATCAGTGCGACGGAGAACACTGGACCTGAGGGGCGGGACGGTGGGCGGGACTTAGCTCGTGGGGCGGGACGGGCGGCGAGGGCGTGGCTTGGTTCGTGGGGCGGGGCGGGACAATGGCTCAGGGCAGGGAGAGGGCGGGGCGAGGGGTGGGGGCTAGAGGACGGGAGAGCTGGGAGAAGGGCGGAGCGGACTGGGCGGGGCAAGGGACGTGGGGCGGTACCGGGCGAGGGGCGCAGGTGGAGCTATAAGCGTGGGGCAGGGCGAAGGGCGGAAGGTGGGACGCGGGGCGGGGCGAGGGCGCTGGGTATCTTGCAGGCTGGAGGAGCTGGTCTGCTGACCGCTTTCACCCGCCGCTCCTGGTCCGTAGTGGCCCATGCTGCTGCCCCCGGGCGTCGTTAGCCGCGTCCTGTAAGCGCTGTTCCGCAGCCCGCCTCCTTTTGGACAGTCTTTCTTCACTCCCTGGCCAGTACTGGCCACTAAGTCCCATCTCTCTCTGCAAGGCCCATCCTCCCACTTCTGCGTTATCCACCAGCGAGCCAATTAGCCCACCTCTCTCCTGCTGCCTCAAGCCAGATTGAAAGCAGTGCTTTTCAGAAACGTTTGACAGCTACAATTATAATGCCCAGTCACAACAAAATCCTCAAAATGTAGGACTCATCTACTATTTTTCTGCCTCTTCTGAGCCCATTAGCCCACCGTACTCTCTTGCCACCCCAAATAACTTTCCGCTAACAAAACATGTACTTCTACCTGCAAAACATGTACTTCTACATGTGTTACCTTCATAATCAGAAGACTAAACTCATACTTTCATCTTCAAGTTCCTTTCCTCAATCTTCATGATCCAAGTCCCAATCAAATCTACCTACTCCGCAGGGCATTCCCAGACCCCTTAATGAAAATCTTTCCTATCTCCCATTGTACAAAGTATTTTGTGTCTGTTATCACTTTCATCACATTTCTCAGCCTGCCAGGTTTTAGCTAGTTTGTGTTTTGTTTTTCTTTTCCCATTAAATCACGCAGTTCAGTTCACATATTTATTCAACACCTAGCTAAGTGTTCACATATTTGTTCATCACCCGACCCATACTATGATGGGCCAAGCATGATGGCAGAGATTGAGGAATCAGAATAACAGAGTATTGCTGAGGTTGAAGAAAAGCATATAGTTTATGTAAGAAAGGTATCTGAATAATATAGATTCAAGGAACCTTGAGGATTAGGAACAGGGCTTTATGTGTCATAAGTGCTCAATAAATGTCTAAATTGGTTGCAAATCAAAATCACAAAGAGATACCACTTTACACCTGTTAGAATGGCTATTATCAAAAAGAAATAAGTATTCGCAAAGATGTGAAGAAAAGGGAAGCACATGTTCATTGCCGCGTTATTTACAATAGTCAAAATATGGAAGCAATTTAAGTGTCTATTGGTGGACGAATGGATAAAGAAAGTGTGGTATATATAATGGACTATTATTCAGCCATTAAGAAAAAGAATGAAATCTTGCCATTTGTGATAACATGGATGGTCCTGGAGGGCATTATGCTAAGTGAAATAAATCAGGCAGAAAAAGACAAATGCCATAGGACCTCACTTATATGTGGAATCAAAAAAAGTTCATGGATACAGAAAACATTGGTGGTGGATGCCAGAGGCAGGGGTGAGGTCAGATGTGTAAGGATTTGTGCATGTGGGTGTGGAGGGGTGTCAAAAAAGAAAAATTTTTCAAAAAATAACATATAGAAGTAAAATAAATGACAACATAGCAGCAAAGAAAAGGGAATTAAATAAGTTAAAGTGTTCTACAGAACTTGTATTGATTGAGAACTAGTAATAGTAATTTATAGTAGATCTGTTTAGTCAAGGATATATGTTATAATCTCAAATGTTGAATAATTTTTCTCAGTAATATTGAATAATTTATCAGGGCTTCACAACCAGCTTTCAATCTAATTAGGAACTAAAATACACCTATGGAAAACTAGACCATTACAAGTTAAAAGTAATTAGTCTGGAATATTCAGGGAAGACCAGATAGAGAAGACAGGGCCTGAAATGGACCACAGCCTGTAAACATGAAGTACTATCTGAAATATTATTCAGCTACATGAATAATCAAAAAAATGTACATTGAAAACAGTAATTTTCCCCTACTAAATTAGCAAACTTTTTTTCAATATTCATTGCTGAAGGCAACAGAACTAGAAAAACGTTATGTCAAAATATGATCAGTAGTTGTCTAGGTATTAAAATATTTTTATTACATTCTTCTGAATGTTGTTAATGTTCTACAAAAAGCATGTATTAACTTCATAATCAGAAAACTAAACTTTAAAATTTTTTAAGTAGGCTTTGGATACCATGTGTAAGCTTCATCTATTTACAATACAAAGATATAGGGATGGGATGGGAAGGCATTAGGGGAGAGAGAGGGAAGTGCAAATACAAATGACTACTGTTAAAGAAAAATAATCACAAAGCGTGGACAAAGATTTAGCTGTAAGGATTTTCATTTCTCCATTGCAGCACTAATTAAGAGCAAAAAGGATAGAAACTGTTTCAGTCTCCAACAAGAGATACAAGGGAATACATGCAGCCATGTTATTGAAGTGTCTTTTAGAAATATGTTCATAAAAGGTTTTTAAGTTACAAAACAGCACATACAGAATGATTACATTTTGAAATTTTGTTATATTCATTGAAAGCGTCTGGAGTCTGCTCCTAAGTGTTCACTGTGGTTGTTTCTGGATGAATGAGGTAGGGTTTTTGTGTTGTGCTTGCCTTCATTATCTAAAGCAAAAATGTTTTTTTTTTTCACAATAAGTAAAAGTTATTTACAATACACTAACAGATGAAGTTGTATATAATGGTAAAGTTCCTTCCGTCTTTCATCTTAATAACTAACATCTAATCCATTTATCAAGGGCCAACAAAAATACAGCGAGATTATAACTTTTCCTTAGCTTTCCAGTCATCTCGAACGTTGGGAAAGAACCAAACACTGCCCACCGCCATCCAGGGGAACACGCACACTTCGCCGTAACCTCACACCTCAAGGAATACCCAGGAGACTGGCAGGCTTCTACTTTAGGGAGGAGTCAGGCCCTCTGAACCCGGAAGTGAATGGAAGAAGACGCGGAGCGTTCTGGGAATAGTTACGTAAGAGCTGGTTGTCGCTGGTTGTTACCTGGGAAACTGGAGGTTTTGCCGGTTATCCGGGGTTTGGAGCCATTAGCGGTAGATGCTGAGATACTCAGAGGTTATTTGAAATGAGCTACGTGGGCATGAAGGCCCATTTAAGAGATTAGCCTGTTAGGGGCTTATCCAGTCTGCCCAGAGGCGGCACGTCTGCCCTGGGGCTATATGGGTCAGTCTTCTCACTCTTTGAACCTTGTAGTGAAATGAAGTGTGAACCAGTGGTTCCTCACTACCACTTTCTAGTTTTCTGCCACCTTTCATAAAATGTAAGATGGGAATTTCTAATTTACATTGCAATGTGTTCAAATGTCAAAGTAAATTAGTCTTTTTTAGATTGAGGGCATTTTTAACAAGAAAGAATAAAATTCACTAATCACCCATTACCCAGGAGTAACTTAAATTTTTCACGTATTACCTACCAATTTTTTTCTCTGCATAAATATTCTTTACACAGTTGAGTTCATTTGGGGAAATCCATTTTGTATCCTGTTTTTTTTTACATATATGCGTGTACATATGAGATATAATTCTGTTCCTAAAATCTTAGCAACAAAGAAGGCATTGACGATCTTAATATAAATTTGTTTGTAGTGAGTTGAAGAGAGATGAAGTAGACACAGCATGTGAAGACAATTCTTTCGACAAGTTTGGCTGTAAAAGAAAAGAAAAAGGTTAGTAGCCAGAGAAAAAAGTCAAGTAAAAGAAGAAAGTTTAGGGTTTTTCTTTAAGAAGAGAGTGATGTTTTTGAGACAAGAGAAAAGCTGGTAGTCAGAGGTTAATGATATTGCCAAGAAATAGGAGGAGATGAGATCCAAAGACTAGATACAAAAGTTAGCTTAGATAGGCAGAACTGGGCAAGAGAATGTTACGGATGTTAATAATTTAGAAACTTAAAAACTGACAAAAGAGCAACAAAAATATCAAAGATATATATTTATATAATATAGAGGTATTTACATATATAATGGCAAATAAAATGTTTAGCCACCTTAGTAATAAATATAAAATGGCACTTTAAATGCATATTAAATTGGCAAAGATTAAAAAGAAAATAATATATCTCTTGGGTGAGGTATCAGTGAAACAGTTGTTGCAGGTGGGAATAGAAACTCGTACTTCTTACCCTTCCCCTTGGCATTTTAAAATTATGCATCAAAATCTTTAATATGTGTATACTTTGACTAAGCAAGTATACTTTTAAGAAGTTCTCAAAAGGAAATAAAACTGCACATATATATTAAGCTGGATGGAGTTCATTTCTGCTTGTCCACCAACAAAAGATAGGTTAAATATATTACACCCATACTTCTTAACATGGATAACATGGTTGCAGATAATAGAAGTGAACTCACTTTGAGTAAGAGCACCCTCAGGTTTTCTAGGAAGGGAATGTGGAAGTGCAGTCTGATTGACTACCCTGATACACAATTAGTGTGATACTTTGAACCATTAAAAATAATGATGTAGAAGACTATTTAATGGTAAAATATATGTAAAATACACTGAGAGAAAAGGGGGTTATGAAAGCTGCAGCATGTATGTTCTTATCACATGGTGTTTTTTGTTTTTTAGCATTCTTTTTGCTTATTTTTATTCTACATGATAAATGTATTTTTGTAAAGACAAAATGTTGCTTTTTAGAAATGTAAGTAAGTTTGTAAGTTGGGTAGGAAGTTGGGGAAATGCTCTCCTGATGGTTTTGAAGGAGCTGATGGCCCATTGTAAAGTAGGAGCTCAAAAGAAATAAGATGCTTTAACAAGCTGAAGAACTATTTTTAAATGTATTTTATATAGGCATTTACTGATGCCACACCTCTCTCACAAAAGATT